AGTTGACAGGCTGTGAAGTGCCTGATTCGCATATTTGATTCCACTTTTTTGTAGAGCATTCATGATGCCCTATAATATTTCAACACTCAATCGATATGGCCAGTGTACTTCCTGCTTGCTGTTTGCCCAAATCATCTTCATCTAGCTGCCAGTGCCGCGCTTTGAAGAAATTGCAACAACAGCTGAATTTGGCATGCCATCAGCTCAGCTGAAGATGGGCCAGGCAAGGCGATCCAGCGGAGTGGGTTGCAGAAGTTCGTCTGCCTTTGCATTCCGGCCATGCAGCAAGCATGACAGCCTAGACCTGATCTATTTTGGTCACGCTGCGCCTTATGCCCCTTGCACCTCTCCCATCCACACTCAGCTCCAGCAACATGCAAAATATACATAAATATGCCACATTACACACACACACACACACACACAGTCTGTATGTGTGTGTGTGCTGCTCCTGCTATTGCAAAACAAACAATTTGTAGGTGTGGCTGCGCCCTGGCTTTGGCCATTGCCAGTGGTGGTGGTGGTGGCATTCTCTTGATGGCCGTTCTGGTAGATGAAGCGGAAATGTGACGTTGACTGCAATAAATTCACTCGCTTTTGTTTGTGCAAAACAGTTCAAAAGAAACGCAGCGCTCAGCGAATTGCAGATGGTGTTCAATGGAATGCCAAATGTTTATGGTGAGATAGATAAATATCATAAAGTTGAGTGATGTTTAGTAATTCAAAATCGTTTCAAATTCCATATAAAATCTACAATATATAAATTTACATCAATTAACTTCATGTTAACTTACTGCAGCTCGTTAACATTCCGGCGCGCTTTGAGCTTTGAGTAATTGACTGTAATTGATAAATATTTATGTTAATTTAAGCTTTAGTTCCACTTGCACTGCATTTTAAAATGTTAAGTCAGTAGATGCTGCTAAGTTCAAGTAATTGACTGCAATTGAATTATGTTTATTACTAGTTGCAGCCGAAAATGTTAACTAAAGAGACCTCATTAATAAGTTATTAGAATATTAAATTTGCTTTTATGCATTAACAATGAAAGCATTGTTTGCTTTGTCTTAACATACATTGTACCTAGTTAAATGCTAATTAGCAGCAGTTTAGTACTTGACTTTAAACCTGCAGCGCAAATGTTAACTTAACAGTTGAAGCTCTGATTCTAGCAGAGAAATCATTGCCTATGACGTTAACATTAATTGTCTTTAGTTCAATGCTATTAAGCTCATAGAAAATGTTAGCTTAACAGTGTGAGTTGCCATTATTGCCGTTGCTGTTAATGTCAATGATGTTAGTCTCATGGAAGACTTCTGCACTTATATAAGCTGTTAGTTTAACAGTTCAAGTTAGCAGTCTCTTAGTTTTTGTAAATTGCAAAACTTAATATAACAGCTCTGCTGAATGTTACCTTTCGCTACAGAGTAAACTGTTAATGTATTATGTTTTCGTTTATTGTTCACATTTAATGTGAGACCAATTGGCATATGATATTAAATGTTAGCTTAGCAAACTCTTTAAGATTTCATTCGCTAAGTGAATTACGTAATAGCTTTCGTCACTTAAATGAAGCATATGCAATCCTAAAGCAAATTCTCATTTCCCTCACACCCCACCCACATTTCATAACAAATTTCTGCATAAGCCAAAAAAAAACAACCTTAATCAATACCCTTAACAAATGGGTTTCAATGAATTTCCCATAGCATTAGTCACACAAGCGGCCACTCGAGAGAAGCCCGCTGTCAGGGGACAGGCGAATATCAAATTGATTCGCCAAATTGACGGCCTTCTGTCGAAACGGTTTTCTCATGCTGCTTTGCTTTGGCGGCAAACACGGCGTATGTGTAATTAAAATTGTTGTGCCAGCGGCACTTTTCGACCAGGTGTGGCCCTTTTCGCCAACATATTAATTACTGTTAGAGCGCAACAAACAGCAGAAAAGAAGAAAAAACGAGAAACAAATTTCCAAAAATTACAAAAATATCAAAATTACAAAAATAGTATCGAAAATAAAACTGGGCGTCGGCGCAACCCACAATTGGGTCCGACCAGCGGGCAGCGGGCAGCGGGTAACAAGTTGTCTCTGTTTTCATTTTATACTTCTATAATTTATTAAGAAAACAAGCCAAATGCAGAGTGTGCAAGTGAGGGAGTGTGTCTGCCACGCTGCCCCTCTCACTGTCTCCCCATCCTCGAGCCTGTTCATGCAACGCGCCTTTTGCATGCGTAATTTGTGCTGCGCTGACGGTGGTCTCAATGGCCCCGTCATCAGCCCAGTCTGTGCCGCTCCGGGTGCGACGGCACCCGCACTGAATAATTGCCATAGGCTGGGCGCCACACGATTGCGGGACAGGCACCAGGCACACACAGAGAGACAGAGAAAGAGAGAGAGCGAGAGAGAGCGATCGGAACATGGATTCGTATTCGAGTTCGAATTCGGATGTATTTTTGTATATATACATATCTAGATCTGCATATATGCTAATGCCAACTGCTTGTCGGCTTGATTACTCATAAAGTGCGCTGAAAGAAACGTAATACCCTATAAATTGAGCAGGAGGGGTATGATACACATATATATAGAATAAGTTGAGCATATATATAGAATAATGGAGATATAAGATTTAAATCCGCATGTGTGTTAATATAATACCCTGTACTCATCCATCAAAGAGATATGCCACACTCATGTATAAAAGTTGTAGATGTGCGCATAACAGAAAAAGTAGAGCTATGGCATAATATGTAAGAGAAAGATTAGCATAAAAGCTCATAATATACCCTATAACTGACTGCCAATGGGCATGCCCTCTCTCATAAGAAAGGAGTTTATCTAACAGAAGCTAAGTAAAGCGGATTGTCGCTGACTCACAAAGTATGCTGAAAGATAGGCAATACCCTGTTATTAGCCAGCACAGTGGTATGCTTAACTTATATATATTTGCATAAATACCCATAAAATACCCTGTATTCTACCAGCAGCTGGAGCAAGCTCAGTTAAAACATTCGAGATATAGACGTCACTCTAAGTCAAACTCTTTTCCACTCACCTGAAACGTTAGCTACAGGGTATTTTCTAGTCGTTCACTTTCACCCCTGCTCCATTTAGCGTATATAAATATTTATGCGAACTGTTTGCGTGGACAACGTGAATTGTAATTTAGTTTTCAACATCAAAGGCGTGGGAAAGAGGCAGAGCAAAAATTCAAATTTAAGGAAAAAAAAGGAAATGAAACGAAACGAAACGACTCAGCCTATCACAATGATAAATGCGTTTGTTTTTGTGAAAAAAAAGATCCACTGCCGAATCCTTTCAGACAAATCCTCCCAGATTTATGGAGGGCAACAAAAAATTATAAAACTAAAAAACTATAAAAAAAAAAACAAAATGCCAAAAGTCAAAAGCAAATGCCGCCAATGGAACGGAAATTTGTCGCCGCAGCAAATTGAAAACGAGCCGAAGCTGACTTTGAAAGCCAAAATGGGCAAAAGAATTCTAACAAACAAAAAAAAGCTAAAAATAAGAACTGAAATTGAAGCTTGAGGCTTGAGGCGGCGCAGAGGCGTGGCATAGGGGGGCAGTGCAGGCAGCGGCAGCGGCTCCGGCTCCGGCTTCGGATGACAATGACAAGCGGCGTCCGAGCGACGCGCGCATTTGGGTCAATGACGACGAAATCGAAGCGACGACGATGCCAATGATTTAGAACCTAATGTTGAAGAGCAACAACAACAACAGCAGCCGAGGCAACAACAGCAACAATGCGAGTCTGATCTGGAATTGGCGTTCAATCAAGCTGAAAATGTTGCAGAGAGCAGGCATCATTTTTAGCATGTGGCGACAGCGACTTATACAACTTGAATCTGACTAAAGGGAAGTTGTTGTTGCAGTTGTTGTTGCTGTTGTTGCTGTTGTGTGTGTGGCGATGATCATTTTGTTCAATCGATTGTAAACGATGCGTTGCGATCGTTTCGCTGCGGCTTTGATCAAATGACAAAATTGATCATTTTCTGTTTGAATGGATTTTGGAGCAGTCGATGGCCCCTGCGCCGCCCTCTCTTGGCCCTCCTCTTGCACAGCTCTGTGCTGCCAACAATTGATTTATGTTGGCTGCCGTCTCTCTCTCGCTCTCTGTGTGCTGTGTGGGGTCTGTTGTGTGGCATGTGCAACAGCAACAACAACTATCAAATAGCAGAGCTTTTGTGTTGAGTCAAAAGGTGCTATAAATCAAGCCAAATGTGAGCGCACCTCCAATTCGTTGTTGTTGCAGCTGAGTGAAGGTTTTCTTGTTGTTGTTGCTGTTGTTGTTGTTGCGCATTTTCCGCAAATTAACAACAATGCGCCAAGCATTTTCGCCTTGCAACAATTAATAGCGCACAGGCAACGCAGTGCAGTCCAGTGCAGCCAGCCACAAGGTCCAAAGGTCTCCCAAAGAGTCTGTTGCAAGTCGCTTTTTTGAGTTGCAAGTTCGATTTCACATTCCCGTAGGGGTGAAATCTTGTTTTTTTTTTTGGTTTCGTTTGCGTCGCGTTTTTGTTTCTTGAGCCTGTGGGTAATGGCCAAAAATTAGCTAAAAATTGCTAAAGTTTGACTTGCATGATTTATCTATAATTTTGCATCGCGACTCGCCACGCGGCCCAGGCCGGCATTTTGGCTCTGGCACATTCGCCATCTGATAGGCCCACAGTCAAATACACATAGAGAGAGGGAGTTGTGAAGGGGATACCCCTACTATATACATCTGACAGCCTGGGCCATTTTTAATGCGCTTTTCAGCCTAAGCGATTTGGAGTTTCTGTTCGGTTCGGTTTCGGTTTCGGTTTCGGTTTCCTTTTTGCAGCTTAACACTTGCGGGTGTTATTGTCTACATAATTTCACTGTAGTCGCAGCCTGTGCTTTTCGCTCTGTGCCACAACATGTAATCGTCGTAATAATAAAAATTTGCAAATGATTTCGTTACTCAATCTTCAATCTCTTTCATTGGCTATCGTTGCAGTCCTGGTTATGGCATGCCGGCTGGCCGCTGGCCACATCCAATGGAGCCCTCGTACTCCAGCTGAGCGACTCTGAGTTCGCACACGCACTCCAACCCGCCGAGCTCTATCTGTGTGTCAAATTAGGTAAGTGGAACGAACTGGTCAAGATATATATATATATATATATACAGCTATATCGTATTTTGTTCAATGGTGATTCTAAGGACAAAAGAGTGTAGAGAGGGGCCAGTGTGAAGAAGGAAATGATAAGAGAGCTAGGAGAGGAGAGAAGTAAGAAGAAAAGTGCGAAGAGATGTCAGAAGAGAATTGTTAAGGGAAGTGATAATAGAAGAGAGAACTAACTAAAGACTGAAGGCTGAAGACTGAAGACTGCAGACTGAAGACTGAAGACTGAAGACTGAAGACTGAAGACTGAAGACTGAAGACTGAAGACTGAAGACTGAAGACTGAAGACTGAAGACTGAAGACTGAAGACTGAAGACTGAAGACTGAAGACTGAAGACTGAAGACTGAAGACTGAAGACTGAAGACTGAAGACTGAAGACTGAAGACTGAAGACTGAAGACTGAAGACTGAAGACTGAAGACTGAAGACTGAAGACTGAAGACTGAAGACTGAAGACTGAAGACTGAAGACTGAAGACTGAAGACTGAAGACTGAAGACTGAAGACTGAAGACTGAAGACTGAAGACTGAAGACTGAAGACTGAAGACTGAAGACTGAAGACTGAAGACTGAAGACTGAAGACTGAAGACTGAAGACTGAAGACTGAAGACTGAAGACTGAAGACTGAAGACTGAAGACTGAAGACTGAAGACTGAAAACTGAAAACTGAATACATAAGAGAGCATATAAATGAGAGATGTTAAATAAGAGATGAAAGATGAGAAATGCGAGAAGAGCGGACTAGGACAAAGGAAGGAAGGAACTATTATAAGGCATATATTTTACTAGATTAATTTGCAGATATAATTTTTTTTAGCAGAATCATGTTATACATTTCTAAAACCTATGCATAAAGTTTCCTCTATTCATATATTATGAAGCAGAGCTCCATCCTCACATAAGTCTTACTCAATTTCCGAGCCAATATTCCCTTCCCAGCCTCTCCTAGAGCCGTTTCAACTTTTACTTTCCGCCTACTCTAAAAATAATGTCTCAGATAACTTTTCACTTATTCCAGCTGATTATGGGCAGCGTATAAGCAATTAATCTTTGTAAATTAACGACTCTATATCTTGTCCCTTTCCACTCAGCTCTTTTATGTGCCGTCATTATTCATATTTTCACTTCCTTTTTTCAGATTCTGACGCAGAGGCCACACCGCAGCTTTATGTCGTTTGGCGCTCGTCCGAGCAGCAGCAGCAGCAAGAGGGGAGCACACAGAGCGGAGGGCAGAGTAACTGCATCAATATCGATTACACAAATACGCAACGGCAGCCACTGAGCGTGCTGCAACTAGAGATGTCAATGGCAGCCACAGCAGCAGGACACGCACAGAGTGCGGCACAGGAAAGGGGACAGTTTCAGGCCGAAGCTAACGAAGCCATCGAGTTGCCGCAGCTGTTGCAGAATTTGCTTGTGAGCGTGGAGCGCAGCATAGAGCGCGTGTCGCTAAACGAGCTACAGATGCCGCTGGCACTGCACGAGGATCAGCTCGACGAGGCCAACAACAACAGCAGCAACATTAATACCACCAACATTGGATCGCCAAAGTGCGCGCTAAGGCGCAGCGATTTAATTACCAAAAACAAACTGTTCAACAATCGTTACATGCTCCGGCGCCTGACCAATCGACAGGATAGCATGAACTCCACCTCGTCGGGCAACAGCAATGCCAGCGAACGCAGCAGTGCCAGCTCTAGTGCCAGCGAGGAGCTGCACAGCCATCTAAATAATAATAATAATAACAACAACAACAACAACAACAACAACAGCAGCAACAACAACAATAACAACTTGCAGCTTGCTGCATCCACATCGCCTGCCTTGCCGCTATTTTGTTTGGGCAACTCATTTCCGCACATTGACAGCGACGAGGAGGCCACAGATGCTGGCGAGAAGCGGCAAACACGCGGTAAGTTAATGCATGCGCGACGTATACGTAATATATTGCATTACGCATACGCCATGCAGGCCAGCCAGCCAGTGCTCCACTTGCTGCGCTTATCTCAATTGCTGGGCGTTATTTCTATTTGTTTTTGCTTTGTGCTATGCAAAGTGCCACGCCCACAGCTAAACAAAATATTCAATTAGACGCCCCGCAGCCAGAGCCGAGCTGCAGTTCGCTTTGAAGTTGAGCTCGGTCTGAGCTAATAACACGATTTGAGATATCGCGCAAATTTAGCGCTAATTTGATATAATTTCTGCGCATAAAACATTTAATTCAATTAAAGCGCAGCTGATTGTGGAGTTTTGTTAAGAATTCTAGCGAAAATATGCTCGAGACTTGTCCCGACTTCAATTTGATTAATTACGATTTGTATATTTTTTTGTCCACTTTTACTACTTTGATTTGCAATGCAAATTCAGCTAATTGGATAGTTTTGCCTGCATGCGGTATACATAGAGAGTTGTTGGTTTTTGTTTGAATTAGGGTCTCATGTGTGAGATGAACATCTGATTGTGATTCATTAAGAGATGGTTTTATTACTCACTTTCATTACAAGCCACTTTTATCAGTTCTTAACACAATTTACCCAAATAATGTAGTCTTTGTTCAAATGTGTATTTTATGAGTAATCAGACTGCAGAGTGTAATCGGCAAAAGCTCTGCATACTTTGCTTAGTTGCTGACAAGACCAAAGCAGGCGAAAGTCTGCTCGTCTAAGCATCTGTCCAACAAAAGCTCCATCTTCTACATCTGCCACTTCTACTTCTACTTCTACTTCTACTTCTACTTCTACTTCTACTTCTACTTCTACTTCTACTTCTACTTCTACTTCTACTTCTACTTCTACTTCTACTTCTACTTCTACTTCTACTTCTACTTCTACTTCTACTTCTACTTCTACTTCTACTTCTACTTCTACTTCTACTTCTACTTCTACTTCTACTTCTACTTCTACTTCTACTTCTACTTCTACTTCTACTTCTACTTCTACTTCTACTTCTACTTCTACTTCGGAAACTACTTGATTTTTCCTTACTCCAATCAAATTTTTTATCACACACACACCCTTTAGGGCTTATGTCAACATAGAGCTGATAACTATTTGTAGACTTTGTGATTATCGGAGATGTGCGTTAGGACCGCCTGGGAATGCACGAGTCAACAGTTGACTGGAGCCTGTCTCATGCTCAATGGCGTTTTGACGGTAATTTTTGTATACAAATATCTCACTCTGCATGGAGCTGCTTATCGAAACATCCTCAGTCTAGTATTTGTATAGTGGGACGTTATTCCAAATCATTTATGTCTCCGTCAAAATGGGCTCATCTTATGAATTTAGCACACTTTATGTGATCTTGTCCTGGGTGGAGGGTGTTTGTCTCTTTGTGCTGATCGTCGATTTGTGCTGGGTTTGCTGTCACATGGGCACGCTGTTGCTGGCGGTAAGTAGAAGAGAGAGAGAGAGAGAAGTGATAGAGTTCCAGCTACTGCACTGAATTTCCGTTTCTTTAGTCGATTTCCGTTGCGTATTCGCTGGGCGTCTTTTTGCTCTTTGCTGGCAGCTATAGCGTCATCATGTATACGGATGTCTACGTGGTCGTGCGCAGCTTTCACACCGACAATCTGTGGAGCTATGAGATCGTTTACCATTGCTGTGGCATCAATGGGCCCAGCGACTATGGCAATGTGAGTCAGAAGGATACCGTGCCTGTCTCCTGCTACAAAGATCAAGAGGAGAAGCTCGAGAATCTCTATAAGCGCGGCTGCATCTTTGCCACTGACGATAGCTGGTTCTGGTTCGTCTTTTCCAACTGCTACTGGTTTGCATTTGTGCTCTTCTGTGCGAATCTCATAACACACTGGAAGCTGAGGGAACGTCTCAGAAGTTTCTGAACAACAGAAGCTCTCCAAATTTACCCACACTTGATAAGAAATATATGTATCTAGTGATAGTTAGATAGATCGATGGCTTTTATATTTGCAGTATTTGCTTTCAATATATTGTCCACTTGAAAGCCGTTTCAATTCACAGTCGGGGCTATAGAATGCGTTGCCAACGCCCACGGCTCGACCACAAAAGCCAACAAAAAACCATTAGCCATTAACAACGGCGGCCCACAGCATCCGCCAGGCGTTGGTTAACCACAAAATATCGTTGTCTCCACGACAACAACAACAGCTGCAACAACAGCAACAACGGTGCAAATGCCTTTTAATTTGTCAAAGCCTAAAATATGAAAATTAAATGAGAAACCAAAGCAGTGCAGCGCACAGTGGTGCAAAATGGTGTAAAAATTGAAAAAATATATTGAAGGTGTAAATGCTGCTGATATAGATCGTTGAAAGATATTGACTAGCTTGAGTATATCTCTCAGATTTTACTGTATGTGAAATACTAAATATTTCTGCTAAAATTCTAACAATTCGAACAGAGCTCGAACCCGGATTCACTTGTGCTGCAAGACTTTGCCTGGATATTGCCTATGGCAATATGCCAATAGAGTGTACGCAGACCTAGCCAATATCCATATATATATGCTGTCAACTTGATTATTGATTGATGCCGACATTGACATTAGAGTGTCTGCTACACCTGCCTGTGATTCGAACCCTGCTGGTTGGGCCCATTTCTATTACGAATGCCAACTGTGTTTTCTTGTCATAAAAACTTTGCCAATCAGGTCAACTGTGGCAACACATACGTTCGCTGATTGCTGCAGGGCTACGCCTCGCTTGAATGGTGCACTCAGATGCCTATCTGGCACCACTGTGCGCTGGAATGCGATCGACTCGCAGTCGGATTTCGGGCGTGTGGGTGCAATTTGCAAGCGTGCATAAATCAGCTGACAAGTGCGGGGGCAATTGTAAACAGGGTATTGAGTTTCATACTTATGCATGCAATGCCACCATCGAGCAGCTGGGCATTTGTATGCAGCGAACAGGTGGTGGTGCTGCTGCTGCTGCTGCTGCTGCTGCTGCAGGTACATACAGAATTTGTGCAGACGCTGCAATGTGTCGCATTTATTACCAGCAAAAATTGTCGCACGCGAAAGTGCCCAGCTGGAAATTTATGGGAGGCCAACTGGTTTACCTGGCCACGCCCACCCTGTCCCAAAAACTGGGATGTGGAGTGTAGCCAAATTAATCAAATGGCATTATTATGCAAAAAGTAAAGAGTGTTGCGCGCAGATCCTGAACAAGTTTTCAAGGTTTTTCGTCGAGCGTTTAAAATGCAATTAACCCATATAGGAAAAGATATTTATAAGCAAGTAGGAAAGATCTAGTGCCCGACTAGGAAATACCCTGAACCCATTTTTAATACTTTCCATAGCGGACGGACAGGACTCAATCGTCCCAGTTTGTCTTCTTGAATGAAAAATTTATATACTCTGCGGGGGCTGCCACGCCCCCTGCTGTCTGTTACATACATTTTAACCAAACCATTATACCCCGATTTGCCATTTGTAATGGGATCAGGGTATAAAAATAAATATATATATATAAAGATAAATTTAATATTTATGTATGAAAACTTGTCAATTTCTAGCGCTCAAGAGCGAGACGACGCAGCTGGCTGAGCCGGAGCCGGAGACGGAGCGGGAAACGGAGCTGTTGCCGCCCAACTCGATCAGCGAATTGCCCGAGAAACTGTTGAACAGCGGCGTCTATTTGCCAGGTAAATATATGTATATGTATATATATGCATATATATTCCCCGACTTTCCATTTTGTTGCTCTGCATATAATTCTAGACTTTCGCTAGTCTTTAAGCCGAAAACTTATAAATATAAATTGGAAAATTCGCAACGCCCCGTTAGGCAGTTAGCCCGCCAGGCCTGACCGGGTGAAAAGCGCTCCAATTGCCGTTCCAATTGGAATGCCAATTCGAAGTGATTTGCCAGCCATTCAATTCAATTAATTCACACACTTTTTCGCACATTAACGCGCGCTGCGGCAGCGACCACCCAAGGCGCGCAGGCGCAGTTGAAAAGCAATTGAAATTCATTTTGAGATTCAATTCGATTTGCATCTATTCGCAGGCACACGCACCCTCCAAGGCGACCCACTTGTCCATGTGGAGGCGGACGCGGTGGCAGGCGCTGGTCTCAATTGCTACGAGCTGGCCACGCTGTTGCTTTACTATAGCACCATACCGGAGCGCAGGTGAGTTCAAGTTGTGGGTGGGTGCAGGGGCAGGGACAGGGACAGGGGCAGGGGCCATTACCTCAATCAGAATCGGGCAGTTTAATGTCAAATGTAAAACGCATGGGAATGAGCACAGGCTCACAGTCCAGGCATTTCAATTTGTGTTGCAACACAACAGCAAAAAAAGAGAAAAAAAAATAGAAAGAGCTAAGTTCATAGACTCACAAGCAGCCCATCCATATTTACGAGCTGATATGCAAATGTGCAGTTAAAGCCTGGCCAAGAGCCACCAACGTGCGCTGGGAACAACCGAAGACGAAGAACGCGACGGCGCTGCACTTAAGCCTTTAAGATGTTCTAACTGTGGTGCAAGGGGAGAGCTATGTCGCTCCCTCTCTCTCCCTCTCTTTCTCTTGCTCTGTCTCTTTCTGCTTCGCTTGCTTAGTCGTCTGGCTGTCTGGCAATCAGGCAGTCGAACTCATTGCCGCTTAAGAATATGCATGCCAGTCAATTTGCCACTTTGGCTAAAAGGAAACATGCAACAACAGCAACAGCAACAACAACAGAACATCGAACAGCACTTGCATTGAATGCTGAGAACTTTGCCATAGAAAATAGAACAAAAGCTTTAGCAAAAAGTCAATAACACTGTAGAACAAACTCCTCGTTTTATTTAGATACTTTTTACCACACTAAAGATACGTTTTCTTTTTATTAATTGGCCTAAATTGGAATTCTGTCTTCGATTCGTAATCGACTAAGTCCGTAAATCTCTTGTGACCTAGTTAATAGAAGAGAATCTTAGACATAAGCTGGCAACTTTGTTGTCTAGTGTAGCTTAGAATTCTCGTTTTTAGCTGCCCGGCAGGCAGGCAACATTTGCGCATTGGCAGACACATGGCTGGAGGGACTCTGCGGTTGCGGCTTCCCTTTGTGAGAGCGAGACAACGCCAGCTGGCCTGGAGTAAGCGAGAAGGTGAGAGAGGAAGCTGCTGCTGCTGCTGCTGCGGCTGCAGGCATATGAATGATCTTTCAGACAGATTCGTGACACTTTGAATTTATGATGTGAACTTTTGTGGCCCAGCGATGAATGCTGGCTGTGTGTGCTGAGTGTGTGTGTGCTATCTGTTCTACCACGATTCCTGGAAATATCTCAGAACAATCTGCGAAATCTAAATCGACACACGAAAGAGAGAGAGAGAGGGAGAGGGAGAGAGCAAGATAGAGCGGGTGGCAGAGAGGGAGGACTCGTTGGCCACTTACAAGAGTCGACAGTCAGCTCTTGCTGATTCTGATTCGGATGCAGAATCCCGTTTCGACTTGAGCTCCAGCTGCATGTTAATTGCTTCAATGCCAATTGCTAAAATGCGGCCAAATCGTGTAGAAAACTTTGACAAACATTTGCTCAGATTTTGTTGTGCTCAAGCAATTTGAAGACACCCCTCGCCCTCCCTCTCTTCCGCTCTGTCTCCCTCAATAGATAACTGGCACAACATGTCATCAGACGTGCGTCTGACACTAAAGACTTGAAGCTTAGACAGAGCTCAGTCACACTATGTATACTATCTCCCCCCTCTCTCTCTCTCTATCTCTCTATCTCTCTCACTCGCTCTTCAAGTGCAGCCATTGACATTATTTGCTATTTGTTTGTCGACATGTGTAAGGTATTCATTAGCTGGCTGTCCAAATCCAAATGCCAGTCTATGCTGCACGCAAATATTAAATATTTGAGCTGAGTCAAGTTTTCACCAGTCGCCGACTCAGTCCAAGACTTGGGCCTGGGCGCAGTGTCAACAGCAAACTTTGCTTGTTGTCTTTGACAACTTGTCGCTTATCCAAAAACTTACATCATCAACAAGAGCTCCTCCATTTGACCCTTCTCTCACCGCAATTCATCTCTATGCATGTGTGTGTGTGACAGCTTGCAATTAAATTTGTTTTTATGAGGCCTGCACTTCTGGGAATCTTTAAATGCCGCCTGCAACGAGTGGCAAAGGTATTAATATGCATGCCTGTGCATAATACAAATATAAATATAAAGAAAGCTCGGGTTACACACGAACGACCCGGCCTAGGACTGCACTCATAAATTTATTGCACACACTGCGCTTGGAGTCTAATGAAATACGCATACCCTTTGTTTGCCCTCCAGGCCATAGTTAAATAGACCTTAGTTAAAGCCCTTAATACGCACATGTTCCTGTTATGTTATCCATAATTGAGTGCGCTTCGCAGCCAACTTAACTGCATTTCGCTGTTGATTAGTTACAGCTCTTAACATTTACATTTGCTACTTATGTTAAGCCCTTTGGGGAAACTTTACTTATATTTCCTCCTTTAATAGTCACAGCTCATATAATGAAAATGCTAGCAGCTGAGCTTAGCTTGTATTTCACTGCTAAACAGCTTTTATAATGTGCCCACAGGCAGCTTGTCTCATATTGCACTTTTAAATAAATACAGTTCTTATAATTGCATTTGCTGGTTTTATTAGGCAGAACCAAACGCTTTTATGAAGTTAATTAGCGTAACCAATATGTTCATTAAAAAATTTAATTTATTTCCAAATAGTAATAGGTTCTATAACTTCCTATATTACGCAGCTCACTTTTATTTGCTTTTTAAATTATTCGAGCACATAAAATTTGATTTCTATGGCTGCCCGTTGGCAGTTAAAGTCGACTTGCTTTATATATGATATTGAAATAAGAATTGCTCTGTTAATAACATGATCTAAGCGGTAACAGAATGCCTAGCTGTAACTCAATTGCTTAACAGTGCACTTTAAATCAAGTGCTGCTCTTGTAATAGCATAAAACTGCTATGTTAAACATAACTACAAACTGTTACTTAACACACAACTGTTAAAGTTGACTTAAGGCAAATGCATAGATAAATTTGGGTTAATTGAATAATAAATAAAATAAATTTGATAGATATTTGAGCTGAATGTCACAAATACGAATCGAGCCCTAGTCTCAGATGCCCTAACTAGTCATTAGTTGTATTAAAACGCATTAACAGCAACATTTGCATGTCAACAATAAAGGGTATATGAAATTCGTTGTGAAATATACAATTAGATCTAGCTAGCAGCTTAGTTTTTGTGTAGGCTGCTTTAAAATTGAAATGCCAAACGCTTTTGATGGCCTGTGTGTGCTGTGTGCTGTGTGCGGCATCATTAAACTCGAGGCATGCCAGCGCTGATGATGAAGCTTGTGAGACTTGTGAGTTGAGAGTTGCAACCCGCAGCTTTTGCCGCTTTGCCGCATTGCCACTTGCCGCGTTGCGTGCAAATATCAACTGAAAATGCGGACTCCAGTGACGGGGGTGGACTGGGCTGTGAGAGCACAGAACTGGCTAACTGCCTAACTGGCTAAGAGGCCAACAACTGGCATGCATTTACAGTTAGAACTGCAGCACAGATTGGCAAGCGGCAGTAGAGGGAAGCAGCTTGGATGCGAGCCACGCACAGCTGGATAAAACTTTGCTAAAGTGTTAAGAAGTGCCTGTTGGGCTTTTTATTAATAGGCCAGCTGCCATTAGCAGCAATTTTCAATTTTTATTTACGCTGATTAAAAGTGGCTACCAACTTGTCATATTTACAGTCGAGCAGCAGCAGCAGCATCAGCAGCTAGCTTGATATACTCAAAGGGAGGCAGAGCTGCAGCAGCAGCAACAGCAGCCGCAGCATCTAGTTGTGGGCTGTGCCTGTTGGCCAAGTGGCAGAGGCCGCTTATTGCCAATTATGCTGAACTTGTTTTGGGCGTTGCCAGTGGTTCTGCTACGAGCAGCAGTTGCAGTTGCAGTCGCTGCCAGCAACCTGCCACAGCCACAATTTACACCAAATAGACAAAGAGACAGACACAGCCACGCGTTGTTTATGAGCGCCTGCACTGGCCATGCACTTCTTACAAACAAAAACAGAAGGAAAGAAACTCATTGCCTTTTAACTTATGTATTTGCAGCTTTGGCCATAAAAGTACACAGCAACCGCAGCAGCAACAGCAGCAGCAGCAACAGTTGCTGCCAGCCTCGCGAACATTTACCATTTTAATTGCCATCGAGAAGTCGCAACATTTATGCGTAATCGACTTAATTTGCCAAAGCCTCAAATTGTTAAGCAAGCAAATTGGCAATTGTGAAATTTTGGCCGTTTGCCTCGATGCGAATTTGCTGCAATTGTGCAACCAGCAACAGCAACAGCAACAGCAGCAGCAGCAGCACAGCAGCAATAGCTGTGATCAAAAGGTAAGTTTCAGGCTTTGACCTTTGCGATTGCAGCACAAAATGAAATCATTAGGCGAGGGCCAACTAACTGCCTCGGTTCAAGTTAACGCCCCACAAAAAGTCCGCACAGACGCCCAATTAAAGCGCTTTACATGGACAGATTCTGGCCAACTAATGATGGCTTTAAATTTTGTTTCTTTTTGCTTGACCTCCCACCACATGCAGGACCAGCAGCAGCCACCGTTGCAGCAACAATTGCAGTTGCATTTGGTTAAATTCATTAGCGTGGACCAAGTCACGACAAGTGTTGCGCCATCGCATTTGCCGAGCGGAGCGCTCCGGGGCCAGCATCATCACGACGCGCGCAAGTGGCGCGAGTTCTTTGCCCAGCTGGAGGCGTTCCAGCGGCAGTGCTCCACTGCTGGGGGTCGTCTTGTTGGCGCTCTGAGCGACATACGCGCCGCAGATCTATTGGGCTTGCCGACACGTCGTCAGCTCTATGGCCAGCATCGCGCCCTTAGCCGTGCCCTCATGGACTCTCAGCTGCATAATCTCCGCAAGAATGGCGCCAACCAGCTGTTGCGCCTGCAAGCGGCAGCCAGTGCCATCAATGCAGCGCCAGCGCCAGCAACAGCTACTGCCACACCCACAGCTGCCGCTGCTGCTACAGATGCAGCAGCTGATTACCATTTGGATGCAGCTCATAAGCTGCGTAAGGTAACGCTGCTCTACAGCGAGGTGGATCGTGCCGCTCAGCGCCTGGAGCAGCTGACTGAGCAGCGACGCGAGCGACTGCGTCAGCTGACGAGACAACGCGCCCTGGAAGATGAGATCAACGAGGTGAGTTGGCATATTGATTAGGCATAGGTAATTCAGATTAATATAGACTTAAATTAGAGCAGAGATTTCCATCGGAGACTATCAAAAGCTCTACTAAGCTTAGTGTCAGTTAAAGAAGTTTGATTGAATCACTTGATCTACAAATCACAATCTACAAATATTGTGGAATAAACTTTCAATTTATGGCTATATCTATTTACTCCACAATATCTATGTTATACAAAGTATATACTCTAGGACTGAGGGTCTGCCAGGCTGTCAATGCAATGCAATCCATTCATACTTCACTTAATAGTTAATAGCCTATTGTGGGCGTGGCATATGAAGAGTGCAATTCGTTTGATTTAGGACTTAAAACTAAAAAGTAGCTATGACTGACTGAGCCAGCTCAGTTATTCAAATATATTTGTATTTATTAACACTTAAAAGCTCGCCCAGTTGCCAAATATCTCTTGAAACTCTTTGACTTCAAATAAAAATGCGCAAATATATTTCAAATTTGTCGAGAATTTAGCTTCGTGCAAGCGAAAACATTTTCTATTTAATTAAACTTTTCTCTCTCTCTGCCAACTGTTAACGGTTTTGTCATAAAAGAAGAAGAAACTGAAAAAACTCAAATCAATTCTAACTAAATTTGTTATATTTTTCCAAGAAACCCAAAAAAAAAAAAAAGAAAATGTTTCAGGTTGTCTGTCAATTGATATGCTCGAAACGTGCCACGCTCTGAGTTTTGATGTATGTGACGATAATAGCAAAGTTTAATCAGGCGAGAGAGAGAGAGAGAGAGGGGCGCTGCAGCTGTCGTCTGTGGACAGGAAATGCGCCGAAGCTCACATTTGAACACACTCGAAATGCCAAATGTAGCTGTCAGATAGTCGCGCGACATTGTTAATTGAATATGCGCATTGGCTTAAGAGCTGGCTTTATTAATTTATTACGCGCATCCGCTTAGTCGAAGTTGGAGTCGGAATGGGAGTCGGAATGGGAGTCGGAGTCGGTCAGGCAAATGGAGCCGTTAGATAAGCCTGCCAAGATGCGCAACTGTTGCAGTAGCTGTGGCAGCAACAGTTGCAATCATCGCTGTCGTCCTCATTGCCAATTGCATTTCCTGGCATTAATTGACTTGTTAATGGATATGCGCAGTGCAGTTGCAAGGGCTCAGATGAATGACTTGACTTGACTCGACTTGCCTTGCCTCGCCATGATCATGATCGTGAACATTGTCTACCTTTAACCCAGCCTCAGCTGCTGCCGTGCTGCATAATTGAGCACGCACGCACCCACAACAGCTCTTCCCATATGGGCTTTATCTCTGCTCGGCTAATCTTGAGTTGGCTTTGGCTTTGGCTTCGCTTGGCGCTTAATCAGCGCCAGTGACAGTTGCTGCAACGCCCAACGACCCGCAGCAGCAGCAGCAGCAACAGTTGCTAATGCAATTTCGCTGATTAATCACAATAATTTGTTGTGGGATTAGTTAGCGCAGTCATAAAGCCAGGCTCCAACTCCCGACTCCAACTGCAGACATCGACTCCAACTCTACGTTTACATATTCGTCATACTTTCGCAGCTACCATTAAGTTTTTTTTTGGCATTATTATTATTATTAAGATTGTTGCATGCGTGTGTGTGAGTGTGTTGCATGCCACAAACGGCAACAAAAGTATGTCAAATTGCCAACACACGATACGCAGATACGCAGATATTTTGCGCTTGTATCTCACATAGATAAACGTCTGCTGCTGCCTCAGCTTCAACTTCAACTTCAACTTCAACTTCAACTTCATCATCTTCGCATTTCATTTAATAATTTGCGGAAATTGGCATTTAAAAATTTGCCAGCGCCTTGTTAACGTATCTCCACCTTGTTTATTGTTGTTGTTGTTTTTGCTTGGCTTTTACAGTTTTTCGTATATTTTTCACACGCTCCTCCGCCTTTTGGCTCAATTTATCAACAGCAAAAAATAAAAATTAACTTGGCAAAAATTGAATTTTAATTGCCGACGAAAAGTTAATGAGAAAAGTGAAAGCAAGGTTAAAGAAATTAAATACGTTTCTTGTGCGATTTTCAATCGATTTATTTATATTATATTTTTTATTTATTTATTTTTTTTTTTTTTTGCACTAAGCCCCCTAACTGCCTGTCTGTCTGTCTGGCAATTGCCCCATTGATTGCTTCATTGATGGCTGAGCTGGCAGCTCATTTCATTAGTTTTCATTCAAAAGTAGTTCAGCGATAAGCGTCTGACACAAGGCTGTCGCGCGCTCTCCGTCGCTCTCTGTCATCGTGGCATATGTCTGTCATATCGCCAATCGCCGATCGTCGATCAGCGATCGCCGTCGTTCGCCACTCAAATTAAACTAAAAGATACGCAAACAACATTTAACACTATGAACACACGCGCTCAAATTCAAATGTTGTTGACATCCAAAAGCCACAAAGTTTCTGATTTGTTGTCATAGATCCACAATTGTTGCCGTGGGAAGTCGAACACATTTCTCTAGAAAGCTGTAACTATCTGAAGCTCTCATCAGTTAGTTAAGATTGTTTCGGGCTCGCTCATAAATCAAACGAGGTGCTAAAGAGGCGCTTGAACTTCGAGCTCAACTTTGATGTATCCCAAAGAAGTTTGTTCTTTTCACTCAAAGTGAATCATTTCGAGTTGACGAATAGCTCGATTTAGATATCATTGTTGAAGACTTTTATATAGAGTAAAGTATCATATTACTAAGACTTTTAGTGTGTCGCTGACTTGCAGCTTTGCAACTTTGCTCTTTAGTCCTAGCTGGCACATTGACTTATATTTATATGACAGCTAGCGCATAAATCTATTTTTTATTGACCTTTGAGCAGCCATCTTGCTGTTATAATTTATAATATGTTTTAAGTAGCATTATTTGCATTGTTAGATAATATTAAAATATGTTCTGTTTGCTCATGTTGATGTGATATGAAAATTATTTAATTTGCTAGCAATCTCTATGATTAGAAGTTCATGGAATCTAAAATGAAGACAGCAAATTTTCAATGAGATATGAACAAAGATAACACATATGCGACACGACGTCTTGCTAAAGCTGCAGATAGAGCTGTAGATAGAGAGAACTATTAGCTGAAAGTAATTTATTATGGCAATACGAATGAATTTACTGAGCTTCTAGCTAAAGATGTTATTCATGATATTAATATACAGATTACATAATCAGATGATACATGAGCATACATAGCTTTGTTCATAAAAATAGTAGTGCGACTGATCACTAAATGTTTGACAACACAATTTAGTGATAAAAACAGTAATTTGAAAACAAATTGAAGCGAATATTAAAATTAACATATTTTATTATACATTTAGATGGTTTTTCGTTATAAATTTAGGAACATGGCATGAGAAAGAAAAGATAAAAATATATATAATGAAAATATTATGTATGCCATATATTTATAATGTATGAGGTATAAAACTCTGATTTGATATGATTTGATATATGATATTTATAAGACACTTCATATATATTCAGCACAACTATTATCATCTACTTGTGTAGTTACTGCAGCAATTGATATCTGATATTGACTCTTATATATATATTTATATATATATTGCTGTACAAATTGATTGCCTCATAGTGTATTAAATCTTCGTTAGACTTGTTTTATGCAGGCTAATTAAATCAATGTATATGTGTAGCTAACTAGCCAAGCGCAACTAAACTAAGTCAACGCGAGCTTTGGCTGGCAAAGCCAATGCCAAATCTGAATCGAAAACCAAATGCGAAACGCGAATTGCGGCTCTGAATGCAACTCTGTCACCTAACAAATGTCGCTGTCGTCCATTAGGCGCGCATTCAAACAAGGTGCGAAAAAAGATGCCGCCATCGCCATTTTGTTGCAGCAACAGCGACGACGACAACGACGACAACGTCGACAACGACAACGACAACAACATTATGATGCGATATGCGATATTATATCTAAATTGTTGATCGGCTGCATTAGTCGTTGACTTTAGCTCCAGTTATGGCCAAAACTGTTGACTCTGGGTGTGTGCTACAAGTGTCCAAGTGTGTGTAGCCTTGGGTGTTGCTGCTGCTGCTGCTGCTGCTGCTGGTGAAAGAGCTGACGATAGCTGCCTGCAGATAGCGATAAAAATCCACAAACGCTGGCGGTGAAATTGGATTTGTTTGGGGCGCTTTCTTTGAGTGCTGCCTGTAGCCAAGCTTTATATATATATTTTTTCATTAAATTAATTTGCGCGCTGTCGGCGGCTTTTGTGCAATGAAAACTATGTTTAATTGTTTCGCGCCTTGAATTGCAGCAGCAGTGGCGGCAGTGGCAACAGTTGCTGCTGCTGATGTCTTGACCATTTGACCAAGCGACAAGTTTTTTTGTTGCGGAAGCAGGCAAACGCCTTAACTTATTTATGGCCTTTGACATATGAACCTGCGGCTAGCTCGTGTGCCAGACAGGAATGTGCCTTGCATAACTGCAACAGCAACAGCAACAGCAACATCAACGACAACAGCAACAGCAAACAGCAGCTGCAGCAACTGTTGAGAACTTGACTAAGCATAGAATTTCGGTCAGCCTGGCCATGAAATATGAAGGCTTATTTAGTGTCGACAGGGCAAATGACGAGAGAAGGGGAGAGAGAAGCAGTCAGGTGAAGACCTCTTGGACTCGCGTGGCATTAATAATAGCCCCGACGGGCTTGCAACCGGTTGATGCATGCAAATGCAACAATGCTAGCAAGGCAAGGCGAGCCTGGCAAGCAGCAACTCCTGCCTGTCGCTCTGTGTCATCAATGTGAACGTTAATCATACGCTTAGAGCTGGGGGACAGACAACGCCAAAGGCGCTGCAATGTCTAGAATGTCGGCAGCAACAGTTGCTGTTGCTGTTGCTGCTGCTCCTGCTGCTGCGTCTTTATACGTTTATTGAATCAAGTTAAGCCTTGCAGCACATGTCAAAATGTAATTCGTCGCATTGCGTTTGACATGTTG